CAGGGCTTTACTCACAAAATAAATGGGTTGCTGGATGCCATCTTCCTCTTTCAGCAATACTGAACTTACAGCCAGATCGGCCACGGCGAGGTACATATACAGGTGTTCCTCTGGGTCAGCTTTTGTTAAAACCAGAGGAGAAGACAGATACAATTTGAACTCATCGAAGGCCGTTTGGCATTCGGCGCTCCATTCGAAGGGATTTGCCTTTTTCATAATTTTGGAAGAATGGGATTGCTCGTTCGGCAAGTTTGGACAAAAATCTGCTTAAGGCTGCCAATCGGCCGGTCAATCTCTAAACCTCCTTGAGGTTCCTTGGAGCTTCCATATCCATGATCGTCATCACCTTTTCTGGGTTAGGCTCAATACCCCTCTCACTCATCATGTAACCCAAGAATTTGCCTCCCTTTACTGCAAAGGCACATTTCTTGGGGTTCAATCTCATTTCTTCCTTTTGCATTATCCCGAACACCTTTTAATTTCCATGTCCGGGACATGATCCTCCTTCCATCTTTTGATCAGAATGTCATCCACATAAGCCTCCATCGTTACTCCCAATACTTCTTTGAAAAGTATCCCGATCATTCTTTGGAATGTAGCCACGGCGTTCTTTAACCCGAACGGCATCACAATGTAGCAAATTACGTCATCTGAAGTGACGAATGTTGTTTTCTCCGCATCGTCTGGGTGCATAAAAACTTGATGATATCCCCGGAAGGCATCCATTAAACTCAATAGCTCGCACCCAGCTGTTTCATCTACCAGGATATCAATCCGTGGCACTGGATATAGATCCATTGGGCAGGCTTTATTCAGATCAGAGTAATCTACACACATTCTCCAGATGGATCCCTTTGGTGCTACTACCACGTTCGACAGCCATTCCACATGGATAACTAGCCGGATGTGTTTGATCCGTAGAAAGGTGACAACTTCCTCCTTAGCAAAATCCCGCCATTCGGCAGCCTGATATCTTTTTTTCTGTTGAACCAGCTTGGCATTAGGCCGAACGGCCAACTTGTGGCAGACTATTTTTGGGTCAATGCCAGACATGTCTTCTTGTCCTCGAGCGAATAGCATCTAGAATTTCTTCAGGACCATAATAACACCTTCCCGAATTCTAGCTTCCAGGTCCACCCCGATCGCCACTTTTCGGTTGGTGGGAAAATCAATGTCAATCTGCTCTAAGAGGGTAGCAGGCTCAGGATGTTCCTCAAACTTTGTTCGGCGAGTTTCAACTTCAATACTGTTAACCCGCATCCCTCGGGCATTCTGGATCAGTTCTGGCCACTCCAACCCCTGTGTCCGTTGGGAACTTGATGCATGAGTGGCGGACAGAGGCTATCGCCTCCAGATCTTCCAATCCCGATCGGCACGGAATGGCGTTGTGGGCACATTTAATGTCCACCACCACAAACGTCATTCGAACCGATGCCTTGTGTGTTTCATCTCCAATCTCAACCATCGACTAGATGGTGCCATGCGCTTCAATGCAATTCCCTGTAAAGCTCGCAAACGGTGTCTTTAAGTGAGTTAGTTGGTTCCTCTGTAGGCCCATTTTCTTGAACGATTGTAGATACAATACGTTCACACTGCTCCCAGTGTCTACCAACATTCGGCGGATCAATACATTATCTATACACATGCTTACGACCAATTCGTCCCTGTGCGGGCTTGGTGAATTGGGCCAATCCACAGGTCCGAATGTGATCTGCTCCATTCTGCCTTTCTTTTGGGGTAATGTGGATACGGAGTCCACATAGAGGCTCCAATCGAATTTCTTCCGTTCGGAGTTTGAGTCACCTGTCTCCCCACCCCCAAATATAACCTTCACCTCCATTCTCGGTTTTTACCCGGGTTCTCCGAACCCTCTGCCTCGTCCCTGGGGGAATATACACATCATTCCTGGGCCGAGCATCACACTGAGCATCCCGTCTCTAGCTGTTGGATCTTTTGACCGGCTTCAGAATGCCTACAACACTCGGGTCTTTATTCACATGTTTGTTCAGATGACCTCGCTCGATCAATTCCTCAATTGCTATCTGTAATGCCCAACAGGAATAGCTGGAGTGACCCTTCCTGTTGTGGTATTTACAAAAGGCATTTTCATCTGCCCCCATGTAATTTTTTGTATGAGTTTGAAGGGGAATGTTGTCCTTCTCGTTCTGATAAATGGTCACAACAGACAGGACCAGGGGGGTGAATCATCCTGGTTTCGGAGGGGGTGCGGCCGCGGGGATAGGACCCAGCCGATCGGCCAATCTTGTAGGTGCAGAGGGTGTAGCTACCTTATCCCTGATCATGGTTTCCTCCTCCAGAGTTGCATGCTTTCGGGACCTATCCAGCACTTCATAATACACAATGCTCGGATTCTTTTTCAAATCTTTATACAGTTCACTTGTTCAGAGAACGTTAGTGAATAGGGTGATGGCTGTATCATCCGTCATGTTTCCAACTTTTAGGGTTTCATCCTCCACCTTTTCATAAACTGATTTAGGGTCTCCTTTGGCCCATGCTTAACACTAGTTAGGTAGCTAAAATGCTGCTTTGGGGTGGTACTAGAAGCAAACTGGGCCAGAAATAAGGATGATAATCCAGCAAAGTTGTCGATCGATCCTGGCTGCTGGGTCCCGAACCATTCCTGGGCAGGTCCCTGAGTGTGCTGAAGAAAAGCCGACAAATAGCCGCCTATGTTGCCCCCAACAACATGAGCCCCCCTTGGTAACTCCTCAAATGCACATGGGGGTCTCCCGCCCTGTCATATATCTAACCGGTCAGCGGTTTGACATCTCTGTGGATTTCGGCATCCATTATTTCCCGGGTAAAGGGGGAAGTGATCCCAACTCGCACCGGGGTAGGTTGCAGAGGTGCCCTGTTCATCTGGTTCCTCATTTCGTTCATGTGTCTCCTCATTTCGGCCATCTCTTCCTCCTGGTCCGTTAGGGGAGGTGGTGGTGGAGTTCCCAGATTAACACTCTCTCGAGTTCCATTTGGTGGGATTTCTCTCTGGTTCTGACGTCCCTGTCTGGATCGGGTGTTATCATGTTCATAACGGAAATGGCACCCAACCGGCGTATCTCCTCTAGCTCGTGACCCAGTCGGGGTGTGGTCACAGGGAGTGTGATGCCTACCCCCAGACGTATGAGCCCTTCTGTACTCTCCCCGATGGGCTCGTGAATGATTTGAAGCCGTGGTGGTTTCTGTATCGGTAGTTTCCTCTTGGAATGATTGCATCGTGGATGGGGTCGTGTATCTCGTTTCCCCCGTATAGCTGGATCGTCCCCCATCCTGCTCATCCGCCAGGTGCTGCATGACCTGAGCTAAATCTCGCATTGCACGAGGATTCCTCTTCAATGCTTCAAGGATGAAGAAATCCCCATCATAGTGCGGGTAAGATCCCCGGCTGGATTGCCCTTGGGGGGTCCGGCTCTCCCCGCGTTTTCCGGAACCTTCACTAGTGTGATGAGAGGTGATTCTAACCATTTTGATAATAGGTTGATTTGGGTAAGTGATTCGTGTGAAACTTTTTGTTCGAGTTTCCCACAAACGGCGCCAATGTTGAGGTTTAATCCCGTAGATCCGAAAGCCCAACACACGCTTTGGATATTTTAGGACGTGGATAATGATTTGTGTGTAAGAAAATATAAAATCTGAATAATAATAATCTCAAAGCCCACTTGTATTAAGTAATTTGCTGAATTACACAAGAACTTTCCGAATGGTACGTCGGAGTAGTGATTAATACAACAATGATAATGAGAAAACTATTCTAGGCCTTGAGTATCAAAATGCTAACCCTTTACAATGAGATTAATCCATCTATTTATACTAATAGGGGTATGGGGTGCTCCTTGCTGATTGGTTGCTGATCCAGCCACTTGGATAGTTGGATGCCCATCCTCCCACTTGTTGATGTCACACTCTAGCATTTAATGCACTTCACCACTTGTCAATGGTCCGTGGCCCGATCGGAGTGGTGGGCCATGCTGAAACGTCGTTGATTTGACCCAAGTATCGCGGCAAGTCCGAACCCCGTTCGGTATTTATCCCTGGGCCTGTTCATCTTCTAGATTCCGGGCCATTTATTGGACTAGATGTATTGGGCCTTGGATCCAGGTATTGGGCATTCGGCCCAATATCCCAACACTACACATTACTCCATAGCCCATAGTATTGGGAAAATTCCAGAAATAAAACAAAAAGTTTGAAAATTCCAAAATAAAACTGTCATATTTTTTTTTCCAAATTAGAAGTAATTACTGCCAGGTCTGAAAACTACAGTCATGTTTAAAATCTGGTACTGCCAAAATATGACAGTGATTAGTCATATTTTTGGAATAAAAAAATGATGGTCCTATTTTAGAATATACAAATGTTTTTAATTCTATTTAAGGTAATCTCCCCCATATTATTTTATTGTTTATATTGGTCTTTTACGCGAGGTTGGTTTTGTGTGAGTGTTTGGCTTGTCTTTCCATTTTATAATTATAGCTATAATTAATAAACCATGACTAAATTGAAAAGTTCCCCAAGAGTGATTGACCGTCAATCATTGACGTAAGTACGTTGATCAATAGATTCAGAACCCGTTTGATGATCCTTTTTCAACTTATGATGAGCCAGCTTTTTCACCAAACACGTAACTTTTGATTTCGCGTGCTGAATTGTGTAATAAGCAAAAAAAGTAATGTTGGAATTACTTTTCTGGCTGTATTGGCTGAAGTTACTATAGAGGATCATTTTAGATATTTTTTCATATAATTTTTTATTTTATTTATTAATAAAAAATATTTTAAATATAATTTTAAAAAAAATCAGCAGAATCAACCAATACAACCACTTCAACCAGAACTTCATAACTTTCAGCAGAATCAGCCAATTCAACCAATTTTAGTGTTACCGAACGAGCTCTCAATATCTGTGTAGCTAGATTTAAATCGTATACTATAAGACTATAAGTTCTTCCCATCTTTATAATAAGAATCTAATTTACAACTCCATTGAAATCCAAACTATGAAGTCTTGAATATAAATGCCATTTAAAAAAACGTTACACTCCTACTTTGAACCCCGCGGGATTGTTTTACACAAAAAGTCCAAAACAGTCTTATAAAATCTCAACCCATAACAAGTGGTATGTGTGTGTGTGTATAGTCAAAGGTTGATACAGTATATAGTAATTATAGATGGCATATTAATGTTAGTGAGACACTATACAATTTAAATCAGTGCAAGGAAGATTCTGCACTAAGTGAGCCAATGAAGTGTTGTCGGTCTGATTACCTCTTTTCATAACAATGACATAGGGGTAAAAATAGAATGTCTCAAGCCAATACAAGGGATGCTCAGAGTAGCTCGGGCAGACTTGTGTATGCATTCAAATCCACCTGAGAACTTTGGACACAATTCACGGCGTGATGATAAGACAAGGCACTTAAAGGGCCTCTGAGGGTTGCTACAAGTTTTCAGCATGTTTTGATTCTTCACTGCATTACTCTGATATTTTTTATCAGGTGATTCTCCGAAACTTGTTACACCCCATAAGACATCTTTTTTATCTTCACCTACTAAAACCTATAAAAAAACAAGACAAACATAGCCCAGCTGCAGTCTAAATCCAAGATGCTCTGTGTATTATTTGGGATTAAATAAAAAAGAAGATGCACACTTCATCTCGGGATAATGAAAACAGTAATAATATTTTTTTTAGTTCTATAGAAGTGTTGCTGTCAAGTCTTCTTCTACCTTGTCATCCTTGCATCTCTTGAGGAAAAGAAACTGACAGCGCAAGTGCAGAATCTGTAAGGGTTCACAGTAGCAATGGGTCATTTTGCTAATTGAACTTATCCTAAAGAATATTTTTAAAATGAAACCTGCTAGCAGAAAAAAAAACTAATGCAAATAGGGGTTTCTTCAATCTTCATACATTTGGTGTGTTTGGATCCTTGAAAATGCTAAGAAAAACAAATGCCAAGGAAATTTACTAACTTAAGTTGGCTTTACCTTTAAAATGCATAGAAACTGAAATATGATTTTACTTGTACTATGTATTTTTGTTTTAAATCTTCAGTCCAGCATCCTAAAAATAGGCTAGCTATCAATTAAGGACCCAGAAGATGAAAATATCAAAATAGGGCTTAAATGATTGAAAATTATTAATCAAAGACTTAAAGTGACGTAATTATTTAATTTAATTAATTTTAATATGATTGAGTTTGTTAAAAATTACCAAACTTTGGTGAAGAAAAATTCATTGAAAATTAGTATAAAAATACCTAAAATAAAAAATAATTTGTATGTGTGATTTTTAAGTCAGTGATAGTTTTAAATCATTAGGGCCATAAATACCCGTTCCATCTTTCAAGTCCTTGATTGAAAGTTAAAGTGTTTTTCTGGTCACGAATTGAGAAAATTCCTTAATTTCTCTGTGTTTATGTAATAGAAATAATTAAATATAATGAGTTCAGATCTAAAAAACTAAGTTTGAACACATCTTCTATTTTTATGCCATTTTCTCTCCCGTGAGGGTTCTAAACGCCTTAGGGAGTTTATTAAATAGGTCCCTATGAAATATGACTTGGTATGAAACATAATTTGAACATGCATGGGTAGCTGGGATTAAAAGGGGATGATATACTATACTAATAGCATGGTTACATAACCAAATTGAGAGGAGCAATTTTTATTTCTTGATTTGAGTTAGCAAATATGATGACGCCATGACGCTTGAAACTAAATGGAAAGAAATTTGGACAATAAAAGGAAAGTAAAAGAATGCCTGACCTCTTCTTGGAGTACCAGAGGAAGGTTTTCTATAGAAGAAAGGCTGTTCATTTCCTCCAAAACCCTTCCTTCTTTGATATTTGACCATGTCTCGGGGGGCAATGCCAATAGTAGAGCTGTTAGGACATCATTGGTTGCTGGATGAAAATTATCCAAAGAACTATCAGTGCCAGAAGCACAGCAGCTCGGTTTCAAACAAGATGTAGGGACTAGAACATCCAACCCTTCTTCTACCTTATCATTACCGTCCATAACTTTCCCTGACACTATAGTAACAGATTTGTCTTCTCCACTAGCTCTGTAGCATCTCACGCATGTTTCCTGGCAGCAAAACATATGTGATGAACGGAATCCCCCTGCAAAAAGACCTGCACCTTGGCGGCAAACTCTTGCAGCAATATCAGACAAATTATCTGCATGACGGCCTCCCATCAGGCAGCAAGATCTTTCTGAGGATAAAATGTCCGCCAGTTGTTTATAAAGATCAGTCTCCCTGATCTTCTTCAGCACATCTTCCTGGAAAGTATGATGCATATAGCGTTCAAGAATAACATATAGGGACTGATCCTTTAAAACATGATAGCAATTCAGACGTTATCCTATATTCTTTTGGATGTTTTTACTTGGACTTATTTCAGTTCCCGACCAGACTAGACTTCAACAGTTGTAAAATACATAGAGACAAGACATTTACCAGACTAGTTCAGACTTCATACCACACCATATCAGACCAAACTAGACCAGAAAAGTTTAGTCCAAGTAAAAACATCATTGACGAGTTAATTGACTTAATTCAAAATCTTTTCCTGAGTAGTTACCTTCATAGCAAGTCTTCCTTTTTCTTCTTCACTCAAACTTGTAGCACCTTCCTCTTGTCTTCGAATTTCTGCTACCCACTTGATAAATTCTGAAAAATTAGCAGGCAGAGATGCTAAAACAGATGAGAGAACATCTTTTACGTCCTTCACATTTTCTGAACTCAACAGCAAAGGAACACCATCTATTAAGTACTTCGCGATATCAACCCAACTTTCATGCTTACAGCTCTGCATCATTTCAAAGAAATAGCTTAATACGGATGGACTAACTTTTCAAATAGCAGAGAAATTGATACGGAAGATATACAAACTTCACAAGAAGATTAATGTAAATATATACCAGGGTGTAAAGCAATGCTGGTGCTCTGTAGAGCCTGGAAACAAGCATGAAACTGGATTTTTTATGGCAAACAGGAAATTCGTGAATCGATTAGGTCAGTCGATAAAAATATTGTGTAAACACATGGACAACGATAATTATATGACCCATACGTGGCTAAGGGAGAAAAAAGAGAACATGATACTAATGTCAAAATGTAAAGCAGTGTCAACCATGTGCTATGAGGGAGCACAATGGGGGAAAGAAGTATATTAAAAAAAGTATATCTTCAGATGGCCATAATAGCCCATGTATGCCACTATACTTATCTGAATTCAGCAATCATCTCAAAATGATAAATACTCATGGCATAAATTGCATAATCAATGTAAAAATCTGGCACGACAAGATCATTGTAACTTCTATGATAAATCTGGTGAACTGGTCCAAGAGACATCTACTTTATTGAATATTTAGAAATGGATTTGGTCATTGGTCTAATTGCTGATTCAGGAAATATCCAATTCAGGGAATATAAATGACCCATAAGTTCCTTAATCTCTACAATAATTTACTCTGAATTTGATACACCTTTTTAATTATGGAAGCCACTTTTGATACATTAACTATTTAACACAGGCATCTGCAACTTCCATGTAAAAATAAGATAGTAAGAAGCGTATATATGTAAGTCACATACCCCCTATGTAACCCTGTTGCTTCATCGACAGTATCCATAGCTTCCCAGAGAAGTGGAAGTGGAACCCAATGAGGGGGGTATTTAAATCGTGCAACGTCTAGAATCAATGCCATGTCCCTTCCAGCATGATAACCGCCAATAGGTGAAAAGTGACCTGTTCCTGTCTGTGGTCATTGCAGCAATAATGGTTTCACCACTTCATGAAGCATGATAGAGTAGAAAATACTCACTGAATGTGCTAGTCTTGTTGATTACCTGTTTAAAGGCGCCTCTATGATACGATGAAATTAGATGGCAATCATCAGAAGTAGAGCATGCTATGAGATACTTACGGAAGTCATCTATGCTGGTCTGACTTGTGCGAAAAGCTTCCACTTTTGCTCCAGCACAACGCGCCAAACACACAACTTTTCCAAAAGAGATGCCTTTAGCTTTAACCTTTTCTAATGGCTCACAGCAGTCCAACATTGATTCATCGAACCATCTCCAAGGCCCTGTGTGCACAATTTGCTAAATCACAAAATTTATATGATGGAATCACAACTTTGTGAATGTCAAGCTGAATTCACAGCTAAAAAAATACAAATTGAAATGGTCAAAGTGAAAATAATGGTTTAACAACCTAAATTTGTTCCTGTTTTAAAAACCTACATCAGTGAAATAACAATAATCTCACCTTTCCATTTTCTTCCTGGATCAATAGAAAGGGCATTCAAAACCATGGAAAGACTAGCCAAACCACAGTACGCAGGTTCAGATTGTGTCTGAAAATATGAAATCAGCTTGAAAAAACCTTCCATTGTTCCATTTTGTGTGGCGTCCATGAAAAGTTGCTGCATTTAAAGTGTTAGTGTAGTTTAGAGAAAGCAAGACGACAGGCCCAAACAAGAAAATGCAGCAACTGGGAAAATTATATAATGTTCTCTCTTTTACTGACATCCATTGGTCTTATCTTTACTTTTTCGATCTATACCACACAAAAAAATTGAAAAAAACAAAAATAGAGATATACTACGTAGCATATTTCATCCTCCACAGAAATAATTCACACTGAAACAATCGAATATCCAAATTTACTCGTGGGGTGGAATCTAGCAACCTAAACTTTCAGATCCATGCTAAATCATCAAGACCTAAAAATGTTGTTCATAGATCATAAATCATTCCGACTGAAGATAACGTTAAATTGTTAATCCTATTTGCAAATATACTAAGTGTCATAGTAGAATCAAGTAAACCCTAGCCTTCAATGGACTAAGAGGAATCAGAAATAGTTAAAACTTGAGACCTTTCCTTCGGTAGAAGCGAAATCAATAGCCGGGGGTGACGGGAGAATGCGCCTGTAAAGACCTGCAGTTGCCATTTTTTCAGGCGGCGGACTGCGACTGAGCTAGTGTTGTGGTTAGGGACTTCCACCCGCGTAAAGTAACCGCTTTTGCTTTTTAAACAATTAATCAAATGCAAAATTAAAAGAGAAAAGTGTGTGTTTGCTACATGAACTTGGGAGCCGGGAGTAAAGGGTACATGATTCTGTCAGTGGGATTTAACGTTACATCAACTTGCCAAATCGGGTATAATTTAGTCCTTCGGGTTATTAGGTCTCCTAATATGGTGACCTGACCAACGGATTACTGATATGGCCTAACAATTAGCCTTTCGTGTGGTAAATCGTGACCTCCAAGTCAGCATCTTCCTAAATACTCCAATCGAACCCTAGAAATTGAGACAAGCTCAATAGAAGACGGTGCAAGTGAGTTCGTTGTTGAAGGTGAAGGTGAGTTCATCCTCCAGCATATCGTCTTCCTCCGGCGAAGGTACGGGTTTGTGTTCATTTGTAATCTTCTGTTGTATTCAGAATTTCAGATAATGACGAAACGAAATGCATTCCATTTCCTTAGGTTTGAGAACGACACAAATGTCTTATGGAAATTGCTACTGTGGAATTCCAGCAAAGATAATGACTTCATGGACAAATGACAATCCAGGAAGACGATTCATCGCCTGCTCAAGAGTAAGAGCATTCGAATGATAAAACTATGTTATTTTTTATTTTTTGTTGATTTTGATTCTTGTTGAATTAATGGTATCATTACAAGTAGGGTACAGGTGCTTGTATCATTACAGAAGGTAGCTTGGAAGATGTGTGATGCTGCCATGGATTAAGTTAAAATGGAAGTTTTATGAACTGATGTATCATTTTGTTAGCTTTGATGTATCACTATCTTAGCTTTGATGTATCAGAATTCAGAACTGTGTAACACTTTCAGTTGCTTTAGTTGATGTTTTAGTGCAACTGGTATGATTTACCAGTTGCTTAGGTTTGTTGTATCACTTTAAGTTGATGTAATTTAGGTGTATCATTTGCTCACTTTTATTTAGACAATTTCAGTTCAGTTGCTTGATCAGTTGCTTAGGTATGAATCTATTTCTTTGAATGATATGGACCATATAATAGCAGTGAATCAATGAACTCACTTTTGGCCTGAAATGGACCTAAAATATGACCTAAAATATGACCTCAGACTCATATGGACCTGAAATATGACCTCATGCTCATATGGACCTGAAATATGGCCTCAGGCTGATATGAACCTCAAATATGACCTGCAATATGACCTCAGCCTTAAACCAGACCTGCTATAACACCTCAATACCAGCTCAAGCAATATTGACCTCAAAACATGAAAACATTGATCTAAACCTTGACTACATGAAAACATTGACCTGTTATAAACACACATGAATACATACATGAATACATACATGAATACCATACATGAAAACATTGATCTTGAACCAGACCTGCTATAAACACCTCAATACCAGCGCAAGCAACATTGACCTCAAAACATTGACCTGAAACATTTCATTCACAACATACATGAACTTAAAGCCCATGAACTGAAACCATTGTGTTTAATACATACATGGTTGAAATTTAAAACTACATCACCTGAATATCATATGCAAGTAAAAATAACACAAAAATCTTGCAAATGACCCCCATAAGACCACATACATATATGGTTTTGTTTAATATCCTTATAGGGCCAAAAATGGCAATAGGATCTTCCCAAAAAACATTAAATAAGCTAACTAATGCCCATCATTGTCTTCCATGGAGTCAAACAAAGCATGGAACCTCTCTCTTGCAGTTGTGGCATCAGTATGAACTTCCACCTCTTCAGCACCTGTTTTCCTTAATCTTCTAGCATTTGCATTCCTTTCTTTTTGATTCCTTGCTCTCACTCTCTGCACAAATTCAAAGCAATCCATTACTTACATTCATTTTCCTCCTCATTTTTATATGTAATAGAGAACTGAAAATTATAAATACGCAAGCAAACCTCCAAACCAGCAACAGTAATTGCTTTTTTCCCTCTCCATTGGAATAAACCCTCACCACCTGGAACCTTTGAGCATTGGTTTTCAGTGAAATAAGATTGCAAAGTACTACCACCAACATTTGATTGTGTTGTAGGTACATTGACACCATTGCTTTCCTGGCATCATGTAATACACACACTTAAAACATTGCTTTCTTGCTTCCTTATCATTGATTTTGCTTTCTTCATTTGTTCTAGAGATACATCACAATTGAGTTCTCTTTTAACCATCTCTTTCATAGCACTGGTTTTAATGTCAGACACACCAGGCTTAGTGTTGAAAAAAATTTGCACCAACCACTTTGCAGTGGCACTAGGAATTTGCCAGCCTGGATTGCATGTATGGTCCTTGATGTAGGTCTTCACCACCCACTTTTTACTGTTACTTCTGTTCTCAATGCCAAAGTAGTCCATCCATGTGCAAGTCTTGTTCAAATTTGAACACTTGGCCCTAAGCATGGTGGAGCAGTTTTTTGCCCAATAGAAGGGGTACCTATTACTCACAGAGTATTTATTAATAGCATCTTTTACCTGACTTTTTGACTCAAAATTCATTCCCAAAGTAAAATCAACCTTGTCATCTGGTTTGAAGCTTGGAAATCTGGATTTTACTCTTACAAAATCTTCTTCTTCATTGTTAGAAGCAGATTTGTAACTTCCTTCATCGCTTGAAATGAAGTATTCTGTGTCATTGCCATCATCCTCCAAACCTACCTCTTCTTGAACTAGTGTTTCATTGGCACCACTATTGTTGTTGTCTTTACTTTTCCCAGGAATCTTTGAATTTGTCACCAGCTTCTTTAGCAAAAACCTAGCATGGAGTAACTCCTCATCATCTTCATTTTCAGAATTTGCCTCATCCTCAAACAGTAGACCTGCTTCTGCCTCAAGAATTGGATCTTTAAAACCCAAATCAACAATGAATGGAAGTTCAGTAGTAGGACCCTCCTTTGTTTGTCTGTTTCATAATAAATGTGTTACCATTTCAGTAATACGACCCTACATATGTTCAATGCATCTCATACAGTTAATTTACATGCAATGCATCTCATCTACTTATGTTCAATGCTGAACTACTTATACTCACTTTATACACAGGTAAAACATGTCTTAACAGTAAGGTAGTACGAAACTGACAGTGGCGTACCTGGCTTTAGAAGACCCCATCTCCATCTGTGAATTAGGGTGTTCAATCTTCTTCTTTGCGCTCTTAGTTGTGGTACTTTCACTTTCATATTTCCCCAACGAGCACTACAGTTAGGTTTAGAAACTCCTAAGTGTGTGTACGCGGTTGAGGTGGCTAATTGTTATGCCATATCAGTAATCTGTTGGTCAGGTCAGCATATTAGGAGACCTAATAGCCTGAAGGACTAAATTATACCCGATTTGGCAAGTTGATGTACCGTTGAATCCCACTGGCAGAATCATGTACTCTTTACTCCCCCGCTCCCAAGTTCATGTACCAAACTGATACTTTTCTCAAAATTAAAAACAAAAGCGGAAAAATACTATTCCCATCAACTATTCCATTAAAAAGGCACTTATTGATGTATAATTAAAGAACGTAATTTGAGTATATTTTCAGAAGCAAATTTGATGTCTATATAACGTAATTAGTTTTCAACACGCGCGTTGCGCGATTGAGTAAAATGTCCAATGTATTCTTTATTGAGAAATATGTATATTGCATGTAGATTTGATATGATTACTTTTAACGTTTGATATGTTAACAATTGCATCAATTTTAAAAAATAGTATTTAGTATTTCTTCATATGAAAGAGGACCCAAAAATAAATAAAAAATGCAAACGCACAACGGGATAGACCATATTTTTCTAGTTTCATTATAAAAAATATCATTCGCAAAGTGAAAAATATCTAGTACATATCTAACTATCAAAGGTTCTTATTCGATCTAATATGCGGCCTTCACATGATAATATACAAGATATGAAATGGAAGGTATAGTAAACGAGAGAAATATAAGGTTCACTAATGCAAAATAAGTATTTTTATTGTTCAAGAGAAAATAAAGATTTATTAAGTATTATTTCTTGTATTTGATATGTTTGATTTTATTCAAACTTCACAAATCACCATTAATTGTTTGGATATAGGATTGTTCAAGAAGACCAATGAACTATTAGTTACAAATCTTCAGTAATAAACATTTGTAACTAGACTTTAAATATGAATTGTATTATTCCGCAAAGCGGACACCCTTGCCACTTCTAATGTGCAATACAAAAGTTACTCATCAAAATACTATGAGCTCATATTTCAATACTCTTTTTTTGAGGTGAACAAAGTTATTCTATTTATCAAATGTTCATCAGTAAATAGTTATACATCTACCCCATTGTATGTGTCTTGCTTTGATTTGACACAATTATTAATATAATAAAGTGAGATATTATGGACTATGTATTTCTTTCTGAAAAAATATGACAATTACGTACAATGGAACGGAGGGGTATCAATTATTGGAGAAGTGTCCACCGCAAAATGAAATAGAGAATTAGCAACTTTCAAATACATTGTTTATTAATTAATACCAAAAAAGAGAAAACGATAGAAAGCAAGCAGCAAAAGTCCCTCTCCTTTCTTCTTTTTCACCCTCTGCTCGTGTTCAGGGACGGATTCAGGATTTCGAGTCAAGGGGGGCGAAAATTTTCGTTAGTGTAGGAGATAAAAAATTCATTAGTGTCGCGGGGTGAATTTTTTTTCTAGTGTAGCGGGGCGAATTTTTTCACTAGTGTAAGGCTCTGCGGCTATTTTTATTCAAAAAAAATTCATTAATACATACGTGACGACATTTAAATCTATATATTACATTCTAAGTTTAGACAATGACAAAATAACTTTAATTTTATAATTGGAGTGCTCTAGAAAAAAGTATTTATACATTAAAGCATAAGAAATGACAAATCAATGGAAAATAATACAAAAATAAAAAAGGATATATAACATTTTATTTAAATATAAAGAGTTTATAAGGTTCACATTCACGAGTACTTTTAAAATAATTTCAACATTGTTT